CGTCCAGAGCTAGAATAGGTGTTCTAGAACGTCTAGTTTCAAAATAGACGGTTCTGAAACGTCCACATCTGAAACAGACGGTTCTAGAACGTCCAGAGCTAGAATAGGTGGTTCTAGAACGTCTAGTTTCAAAATAGACGGTTCTGAAACGTCCACATCTGAAACAGACGGTTCTAGAACGTCCAGAGCTAGAATAGGTGGTTCTAGAACGTCTAGTTTCAAAATAGACGGTTCTGAAACGTCCACATCTGAAACAGACGGTTCTAGAACGTCCAGAGCTAGAATAGGTGGTTCTAGAACGTCTAGTTTAAAAATAGGCGGTTCTGAAACGTCCACATCTGAAACAGACGGTTCTAGAACGTCCAGAGCTAGAATAGGTGGTTCTAGAACGTCTAGTTTAAAAATAGGCGGTTCTGAAACGTCCACATCTGAAACAGACGGTTCTAGAACGTCCAGAGCTAGAATAGGTGGTTCTAGAACGTCTAGTTTCAAAATAGACGGTTCTGAAACGTCCACATCTGAAACAGACGGTTCTAGAACGTCCAGAGCTAGAATAGGTGGTTCTAGAACGTCTAGTTTCAAAATAGACGGTTCTGAAACGTCCACATCTGAAACAGACGGTTCTAGAACGTCCAGAGCTAGAATAGGTGGTTCTAGAACGTCTAGTTTCAAAATAGACGGTTCTGAAACGTCCACATCTGAAACAGACGGTTCTAGAACGTCCAGAGCTAGAATAGGTGGTTCTAGAACGTCTAGTTTCAAAATAGACGGTTCTGAAACGTCCACATCTGAAACAGACGGTTCTAGAACGTCCAGAGCTAGAATAGGTGGTTCTAGAACGTCTAGTTTAAAAATAGGCGGTTCTGAAACGTCCACATCTGAAACAGACGGTTCTAGAACGTCCAGAGCTAGAATAGGTGGTTCTAGAACGTCTAGTTTCAAAATAGACGGTTCTGAAACGTCCACATCTGAAACAGACGGTTCTAGAACGTCCAGAGCTAGAATAGGTGGTTCTAGAACGTCTAGTTTCAAAATAGACGGTTCTGAAACGTCCACATCTGAAACAGACGGTTCTAGAACGTCCAGAGCTAGAATAGGTGGTTCTAGAACGTCTAGTTTCAAAATAGACGGTTCTGAAACGTCCACATCTGAAACAGACGGTTCTAGAACGTCCAGAGCTAGAATAGGTGGTTCTAGAACGTCTAGTTTAAAAATAGGCGGTTCTGAAACGTCCACATCTGAAACAGACGGTTCTAGAACGTCCAGAGCTAGAATAGGTGGTTCTAGAACGTCTAGTTTCAAAATAGACGGTTCTGAAACGTCCACATCTGAAACAGACGGTTCTAGAACGTCCAGAGCTAGAATAGGTGGTTCTAGAACGTCTATTTTAAAAATAGGCGGTTCTGAAACGTCCAATCTGAAACAGACGGTTCTAGAACGTCCAGAGCTAGAATAGGTGGTTCTAGAACGTCTAGTTTCAAAATAGGTCGTTCTAAAACGTCCACATCTGAAATAGGCGGTTCTAGAAGGTCCAGAGCTAGAATAGGTGGTTCTAGAACGTCTAGTTTCAAAATAGACGGTTCTGAAACGTCCACATCTGAAACAGACGGTTCTAGAACGTCCAGAGCTAGAATAGGTGGTTCTAGAACGTCTAGTTTCAAAATAGGCGGTTCTGAAACGTCCACATCTGAAACAGACGGTTCTAGAACGTCCAGAGCTAGAATAGGTGGTTCTAGAACGTCTAGTTTAAAAATAGGCGGTTCTGAAACGTCCACATCTGAAACAGACGGTTCTAGAACGTCCAGAGCTAGAATAGGTGGTTCTAGAACGTCTAGTTTCAAAATAGACGGTTCTGAAACGTCCACATCTGAAACAGACGGTTCTAGAACGTCCAGAGCTAGAATAGGTGGTTCTAGAACGTCTAGTTTCAAAATAGACGGTTCTGAAACGTCCACATCTGAAACAGACGGTTCTAGAACGTCCAGAGCTAGAATAGGTGGTTCTAGAACGTCTAGTTTAAAAATAGGCGGTTCTGAAACGTCCACATCTGAAACAGACGGTTCTAGAACGTCCAGAGCTAGAATAGGTGGTTCTAGAACGTCTAGTTTAAAAATAGGCGGTTCTGAAACGTCCACATCTGAAACAGACGGTTCTAGAACGTCCAGAGCTAGAATAGGTGGTTCTAGAACGTCTAGTTTCAAAATAGACGGTTCTGAAACGTCCACATCTGAAACAGACGGTTCTAGAACGTCCAGAGCTAGAATAGGTGGTTCTAGAACGTCTAGTTTCAAAATAGGCCGTTCTGAAACGTCCACATCTGAAACAGACGGTTCTAGAACGTCCAGAGCTAGAATAGGTGGTTCTAGAACGTTTAGATCTAAAAAAAAGCGGTTCTAGAACGTCGCGGTTATGAAAAGTCGCAGTCCGATTTTTGAACATCTATCGACAATGTGGTTCTAAAACGTCACAGTTGTACAATGTCTCGGTTCTCAAACGACACGGTTCTGAAATGGCTAGTTCTGAAATTGTCGGTTCTAGAACGTACAAAAAATGATTCAAAACGGCCTAAAATGGACTGAAAATAGCTTAGAATAAGAAAATAGCGGTTAGAATAGCTCAAAATGGCCCTGAAATCAGCCAAAATGATCTAAAATAGTCCCAAAACGACACATCCGGGCATCCGGGACGCACAGACAGATTTTTGATCGAAAAATGCTCAGAAATAGCCCGAAATGAGCCAAAAATGGCTTCAAAATGCTCTAAAATGGCTCAAAATGACCCAAAATAGCCCCAAAAACCCCTAATTTCTTAAATTTCAGCGCCGTCGGCACGCGCCCACAGAAGGACGTCATCTGGTTGGAAGGCGATTTGGCGAACTCGCTCCGTCTGGAATCGATTCGAAACGATTCGATCTATCCCATCACCTCATTTGACATTCATTCGGATACGGTAGTCGGGTGCAGTTCGATTGGAATGGTCTCGCTCTATCAACAACTGCCGTTTCATCCAAATACACAATACGGGCGTTGATTTTTTGGGTTGAGAATTTGGCTGAAAATTACTGAAATTGAGTGAAATTTGGCTCAAAATCGCTGCTGAAAATGCTCTGAAAATAGCTTAAAAGTGGTCGAAAAATGTGTTAAAAATCGTCAAAAATAGGCTTGAAATGTTCCAAAATCGAGTTGTTTTCACCATTTTTTGAAGCCAAACGTTGTCTTTTTCGGCTGAAATTGGCTGAAAATCCTCAAAAATCTGAAATTTTGAAGATGAAAAATCGATTTTGAACCGATTTGAGCTATTTTTAGCCATTTTTAGCCCCTTTTTTTTAGCCATTTTGCTATATTTTCAGTCATTTTTAGCCTTTTTTTAATGCTGAATTTTTGAGTTTTTCACCATTTTTGATGGAAAATAGGCTAAAAACACCAAAAATCCTATAAAAATTGATAAAAAATGGCGGGAAATCGCCGAAAACCCCATTTTTAGGCGAAATTTCGGTTTTTTTTCCAAAACGAAAATTACTGAAAATAGCTGAAAATCGATTTTGAACTGATTTTGGATTAAAAAATTTGGATTTTTCAGCTTTTTTGAGCTATTTTCAGTCATTTTAAGCCTTTTTCAATTTTTGAGTTTTTGACCATTTTTCGCCGTTTTTTAGCTCATTTTCAGTCGATTTTAAGCCAAATTTTAAGCCATTTTCAACTCTTTTTCTCTGAAAATTTCCTCGCCCATAATCTGAAATTGTCTCTCGTTTTTTACCCGATTTTCGATGTAATTTTCACCTCATTCTCTGAAAATTTTGATATTTATATGAATTTAAATATCACACTGCCAACTTTATCATTTTCAAAAATTTTTTGAAATTTTTTGAATTTTTCAAAAATTACAGAAAATTCGCTCAGCGCTATTTTTCAGCTCAAAAAAAAACGCCGAGCAAAAAATTGAAGAAATTCTCATTTTTCTCTAATTCTCTCATTTTTACATTATCTCTCTCTCTCTCTCTCTCTCGTTTTTAGCACTCATGTGTCATTTTTTTTTCTATTTTGTGGTTTTCTTGTGGTTTTGAGATTTTGAGATTTAATGAAAAAAGAAAAAAAACGAAAGAGTGAGAGAGTATGAGAAAACGAGAGAGTCTAGAGAAAAGTAGTGGAACAGTTGTTAAAGAGGTACTTGTAATGGATCAGAGATTCTCTTTTTTTTTTTTCAGCAATTTTTAGACCTGATTTTGGCTAAAAATCGATATTGAAACTGATTAAAATTTTTCAAAAAAATAATGCAAATTTTTTTTTTTTTTTTGGATTTTTTTTCAATTTTTTAAATGCAATTTTCAGCGATTTTAAGTGTAAAATTCACGATTTTTGTGCCGGATTTTAGCTGAAATTCGATTTTTTTCATATTAAATGATTTCGAAAAAAAAATTCTTAAAATTTTTGGAGTTTCTTTGGAGAATCTGAAATTAAAGATTTTCGAGAAAATCCAAATTTGAAAAAAAAAAATGAAAAGTGAATAATTATATTCGATTTTAAGCCATTTTTCAGCGTTTTCCGACCATTTTAATCCTAGTTACAGTATTTTGGTGTTTGCGGACATCGGGGTGGCTGGAGACGCCAGAATTTGAAAATTTGCGGTTTTGGACCGTTTTTGATTATTTTTTCGGCATAAATTCACTCATTTCAAGCATTAAGCACTAGGAATAATTCAAAAAAATCGAAAAAAAACTTTTTTTTGAAAAAAACTGAAATTTTCAGAATTTTTTTAAAATTTCAATTTTTCAACATTTTTTTCAGAAATTCTGGGAACACACATTTTTTCTAGTCCTATGACACAAAAATTTGAGGTAAAATGATGAGGAAATTGTGTGTTTTGTTGCCAAAAGAAAATAGTGTCTTATCAATTTTTGGCATTTTTGCCCTTTTTTGGAGAAAATGACAATGTAACCACCCAAAAAAGAGTCGACAAAAGTTAGGAAGTTCCGTTTAATAAGATTATTTATCAGAATATTGCGAAATTTCGAAAAAAAAATTTCACAAAAAAATTGATAAATTTGGAACACAAATAGCTGAAAATAACTTTTTCAAAATTTTTTTTCTGAAAATTTTGAACTTTAATTTTGAACAAAATAAAATTTTTCGATTTCCCAAAATTTTCCTAGTGCTTTATGCTTGAAATGAGTTAATTTATGCCGAAAAAATAATCAAAAACGGTCCAAAACCGTAAATTTTCAAATTCTGGCGTCTCCAGACACCCCAACGTCCGCAAACACCAAAACTACTGTAACTAGGCTTAAAATCGTCGGAAAACGCTGAAAAATTGCTTGAAATGTGTGAAAAACAATATAAACCAAACAAACAAGCCAATTTTTCCGAAAAAGTGAAAATGGAACTTTTTTTCAAATTTTCAAAAATTCGAGTTATTTTTTAAAATTTGTTCAATTTTCCTAAATTAGCATTGAGCCAAAAATACTAATTTAACAAAACAAATGCCTGGAAACCGCTAAAAACGGTCTAAATTCCCAAATTTTCAAATTTCCGCGTCTCCAGCCATCCCGATGTCCGCAAACACCAAAACTACTGTAACTGGGCTATAAATGGTCGAAAAACGCTGAAAAATGGCCTAAAGTGTGTGAAAAATCGTCTAAAAATCGTTGAAAACTAAAATTCATGTTTATTAAAAATTTTAGCAGGTGCAAAATCCCGTCTTTGTCCCTTTTCTGTTTGCCTGTAGGTCCCGATGTCTGCATTTCTGGAATTTTCTGGAATTTTCTAGAATTTTCCGTCCTCCAAACAAGAATTTCACAATAAACACACATCCCAGCAGGTGTCGTTTATGTGTATGTCCTTCGTGCTTCCTTGAACAACAACACACACACACTTCTCTGCGTCTCCTCACTCTCTCTCTCGCATTCTTTTCTCTGCGTCTCTTCATGGCATACACTCTCTTTCCGCCTCGTTTCTTCTCGATTTCACAGCCGCCGTCCGATCACTGATTTTTTCTTCGTTTTTCTTTCTTTTTTGTCCGTTTTCATCTTTGCCTTTTTTTATTGGCCAGTTTGACTTTGTTGTGCGATTTTTCTCGCCCCAAATACTGCGATTTCTTTCGATTGAAAAAAAATCGGGGTCAGCAAGCGCGCTCCACTGGACTGCTTGAGAAATTTCCGTTTTTGACCGTTTCTGGACCACTTTTCGGGGTTTAAGATCAATTTTCGGTGAAAAAGAACAAGATTTTTGAGTTTTTGAGCGAAAAAATAGGCTAGAAAGTGGGGGAATTCGAGATTTTAAGCATAGCTAGAGGAAAAATTAGCGAAAAATCTGTTTTTTGGAATTTTGGGTGTTCAGACAGATTTTTGATGGAAAATAAGCATTGCATTGGATTCAGAAGGCTGAAATTGGCCTAGAAAAATGGATTTTAATATGTTTTCAAAGAAAAAAAAATTCTGAAAAAAAAAATTTTTTAATCAGATTTTTTCGAAATTTTGGCATAAAATTGCAAATTTTCAGCCAATCTTCCCCAATTTCTAACCAAAATTTTCTCTCGATTTTTGTTCTTTTTCCCTGCTCCTTCTCCCAATTGTTCTATCTGTTTCCTATTGATAAGAAGAGATATCTATTTGTACCTGTTTGTTCTGATGCTTTAGTGTTCCTACGCGTTTCACATTGTTTGCACAAGTTTAAAGGAGAAAATTAGATAGAAAGTAGTACAAAAATCATTGATTTTGAGTTATTTTAAGCCGAGTTACGGTTATTGGGGACATTTGGACACACAGACAGATTTTATGTGGTTTTTTTAGCGGTTTTTAATGATTTTTAGGTGATTTTCAGTGATTTCCAGAAGTTTTTCACACATTTAAAGTCATTTTTCATCGTTTTCAGACCATTTTGAGCCTAGTTACAGTACTTTTGGACATCGGGACACACAGACAGATTTTAAGTGGTTTTGAGCTACTTTAAGCTGAAATTGATGGATTTTAGGTCATTTTAGGCGATTTTAGGCTATTTTCCGGGTATTTAAAGTGATGTAGAGTCATTTTTCAGTAGTTTTGGACAATTTTAAGCCTAGTTACAGTATCTTGTGGACACTAGCTAGTTTAAACGATTTCAAACGATTTCGAGACAATTTAAACTGGATTGAGCAGTTTTATGGGGTTTCCAGTAGTTTTTAGTGCAATTTGAGCTATTTTTCATCAATTTTGGACCATTTTAAACCTAGTTAGGATACTTTTGGACATCCGGACGCACAGACAGATTTTAAGTGATTTTGAGCTATTTTAAGCTGAATTCGATGGGTTTTTGGTCATTTTAAGCTGGATTAAGCAGTTTAAAGTGATTTCCAGTAGTTTTTAGTGCATTTTGAGCCATTTCCCACCATTTTTGGACGATTTCAAGCCTAGTTACTGTAGTTGTGGACATCTGGACACACAGACAGATTTTCACCGTTTTTGAGGCGTTTTTAGCGGTTTCAAATGACTTTTTGGTGATTTTAAGCGATTTCCAGCGGTTTCGAGTATATTTTGAGCTATTTTTCAGCATTTTCGGAGCATTTTTAGCCTAGTTACAGTACTTTTGGAAATCCGGACACACAGGTAGATTTTAAGTGATTTTGAGCTATTTTAAGCTGAATTTAATTGATTTTAGGCTATTTTTCGGGTATTTCAAGCGATTTAGAGTCATTTTTCAGCGTTTTTGGTCCATTTCAAGCGATTTCCAGTGATTTTTAGTGCAATTTGAGCCGTTTTTCAGCATTTGTCGACCATTTTAAGCCTAGTTACAGTAGTTACGGACATCTGGACACACAGACAGATTTTCACCGTTTTCGAGGCGTTTTTAGCGGTTTCAAATGACTTTTCGGTGATTTTAAGCGAGTTCCAGCGGTTTCAAGTATATTTTAAGCTATTTTTCAGCATTTTCGGAGCATTTTTAGCCTAGTTACAGTACTTTTGGACATCGGGACACACAGACAGATTTTGAGTGATTTTGAGCCATTTTAGACGGATTTTCGTGAATTTCGTGCGATTTAGCGCAGTTTTAAGCGATTTTTAGTAATTTTTAGTGCATTTTAAGCCATTTTCCAGCATTTTTAGACTATTTCAAGCCGATTTACAGTAGTTGGAGACATCTGGACACACAGACAGATTTTAAGTGATTTTGGGTTATTTTAGGCGGTTTTTGACGAATTTTGAGTCATTTTAAGCTGGATTAAGCAGTTTTAAGCGATCCCCAACAGTTTTTCACAATTTTAAAGCCATTTCCCACCATTTTTGGACGATTTCAAGCCTAGTTACTGTAGTTGTGGACATCTGGACACACAGACAGATTTGAGCTATTTTAAGCTGAATTTAATTGATTTTAGGCTATTTTTCGGGTATTTCGAGCGATTTAGAGTCATTTTTCAGCGTTTTTGGTCCATTTCAAGCGATTTCCAGTGATTTTTAGTGCATTTTGAGCCATTTGTCAGCATTTTTGGACCATTTCAAGCCTATTCTAAGCCAATTTATGACTATTCTTCTCTGCGTCTCTCGATTTCCTATACTCTCTCTCTCTCGCTCCCCCTTATCAGCATTTTTTTTTGCTTTTTCATTTATTTGTCTTTTTTTTTGTTGCAGCGAACTCTCCCTCTATACCCCCGCCCATCTTTTTTTCTCTGCTTTCTCTAGCACTCTCTCACTCTTTCATCCTCTAAGCGAGAGAGAGAGAGAAGAGACGCAGAGAAACGAGAGGCAGAGAAAGAAGTATCAACGAACGAGTTCATTTCCCCTACTCCCAAACGACCCTATTGACTGCTCGACACAGAAAAAAGAAAGGTGAGTGGCTTGACAAATTGACAAAAATGGCCTAGATTAGCCTGGAATAAGCCTAAAATTGCCTTAAAATAGCCTAAAATCGACTAAAATGGCCTGAAAATGGTCAAAAACTGGCCTGACATGACCTGAAACAGCTTAAAACTGGCCGAAAGTGGCTTAATACAGGCATAAAATGGCTTAAAACGGTCTAAAATGGCCTATAATGGCCTGAAAATCGGTCGAAGTGCCTGAAAATAGCCTCAGAATGGGCCTAAAATTGGTCTAAAATGACCTAAAATTAGTCAAATTTGAGTGAAAAATAGCTTTAAATTGGTCAGCAATGACACCTAAAATGGGTCGAAAATTGTCAAAAATTACCTGATTTAGGCTAGAAAAAGCCGCCTAAAATAGCATTAAGTAGCCTAAAAAACGGTCTAAAATGAAAAAAAAAAGACCCAACATTGGTCAAAAACCGCCTAAAATAGGCCTAAAATGGTCCTAAAAGCCTGAAATTACCTGAAAAAACGACCTAAAATGGCTCAAAATTAGTCAAAATTGGCCTAAATCATCCTTGAAATAGCCCAAAAATCGGTATAAAATAGTCAAATTTGGGTGAAAATGATAGCTTAAAATTGGCCTAAAATGACCTAAAATTGGTCAAAACTGGCCTTAAGTGACCTAAAATTAATTTAAAATGGCTAAAAAGGACCTAAAATTGGTTTAAAATGGCCAAAAAGGACCTAAAATTGGTTTAAAATGGCCAAAAAGGACCTAAAATTGGTCAAAGATTGCCTAAAAAATTGTCCGAATGACCTAAAATTGGTCAAAAACGGTCAAAAATGGCCCTAAATGACCTAAAATTAGTCAAATTTGGGTGAAAATAGCTTAAAATTGGCCTAAAATGACCTAAAATTGGTCAAAACTGACCTTAAGTGACCTAAAACTGGTTTAAAATGGCCAAAAAGGACCTAAAATTGGTCAAAGATTGCCTAAAAAATGGCCCTAAATGACCTAAAATTGGTCAAAAAAAAACCGGCTTAGAATGGCCTAAAATAGCATGAAATAGCCTCGAAACGGCCGAAAAAGCTTGAACTACTAACCGAAAAATGGCAGAAAAGAGCCTAAATTTGGCCTATATTAGTCAAAATTGGGTGAAAATGATAGCTTGAAATTGGCCTAAAATGGCCTGAAACATGGCCTAAAATGGCCTGAAATTAGCTAAATAATCGTGAAAATGTCAAATTTTATCCATTTTTTCCTTCCAGATCCTTCCCAATCACCAATCAATCGATAATCAGTGATTTGCGGACAAGACAACCACTCTTCTCTAATTGAATTATCCACATTTCCCCCCTGCGAACACAACTTCTCTCTTCAAATAAAGACACTACAAAGACTACAAAGACTACAAACTACAAGGCAAAATCCAACAAAAGATGGGCATCCTTGATCATCCATCATCGTCAGGTGAGATTTTTATTAACAAAAGCTAAACATGCGAACCTATAACGCTCTCTCTTGCTCGATTACTGTATCGAGTTGAAGCTAAAAGTCGTTAGAATATCACCTGTAAATGGGGGGATGATTTGAAGCCGAAAATCGTGCGAATCGAGCCCAATTTGCCTTGGATGGACAAATTTGGACAAATAAACGCGGCAAAACTCGATTTTGAGCTAGCAAAATTCGTTGAAATCAGCGAAATGTAGCTAATTTTACGCCTAAATTGCTCTAGGTGGACGATCGGGTGACGAATCTAATTGAATTATAGGCTAAAAATCGCTTGATTGGGGTCGGGGGGTGGACATCTGGACATACAGATCCTGTGTGGGCATCATTTGTGAGCTTTTTACGCCTGATCATACGATCAAAATGAGGCTAGATTGCTTTGGGTGGACATCTGGACATACAGATCCTGTGTGGGCATCATTTTTGAGCTTTTTACGCCTGATCATACGATCAAAATGAGGCTAGATTGCTTTGGGTGGACATCTGGACGAATGGACATCCGGAATCCTCCCGTTTTGGTTCCCCTTTTTAGCAGTTATTTGTGCCCCCCTCCCCCCCCCCCCAAAAAAACCATTCAAATCATCGTCTTTATCATGTAGAAATCAAAGTCCACTGGCCACTAAATCAATCAAAACGGAACCGATTCTCTGTGTCCACGCGTGTCAGAATAGGCGCCTTCGCTATGATAACAACACTATGAGATGTCGTCAGAATTCATTTAATTGACGATCCATCATTCGGTAAAGAAAGCGTTACAAGAATAAATCGCTGTCTCTCTGCGTCTCTCAATGATTACTTATCTCTATATATTTTTTGGGCGGAAATAATCGACAGTATTGTCGAGAAATCAGTGATAGAGCGGAACGATATGGAAAAATGAGGAATAAGAGAAGATTCAGTATTTTTGGCTTACTAGGGAAGGTTGTAATCGGGGGGTGGAACTTTGGTATGAAACTTATATCATTCAAAAGCTGAGGATGAGACATTTTCAAATCTGTGTTCAGATTTTGCTGAGGAGGTACCAGTTTCGAGAAAATCAAGTTTCAAATTTTGCTTAAATTTTTTTTTTTAAGGGCGCCGCGCCTCCCCTCTTTCTTATATAGATTGGGGGAAGGGAAACAAACAGCGAGCAGTGGTGTAGTGGCGAGGAGGGATGTACAGTAGGCGACTAGATGCAGGTTCGAACCCCTTCTCGCCATACTTTTTTTGCGTTTTTTTTTCTGGATTTTCGGACAATTGTAAATGAGTTCTGAAGCAATTTCAAGCAAACTTTTTTAATGGAAGCCAAGTTTCTGATAGCATTGGATTGATTCAAAATTTTTAAAAAGTCATTTTTTTTTCATCTTTATAAAATTTATTTATGCGGACACAAATGCTTATCTACTACAATAAAATGGTTAAAACAAATGTATTCTTTGCAACGAGAGCATCGAATAAAGGATAGTTCAGGACATGCAGGCTTGTGGCAGGCCTTATCACCGACTTGATCAAAGCAAAACTTTGCTGGAGTCTCAAAACCAGATGAAGAGTCAATGTAGCCTGTTTTCTTCCAAGAATACTGCAAAAACGGCTTGAAATAATCTGACGAAATTTGGTGAAAGAGAAGAGAAATCATCCAAATCTCATTATTCCATTGGGCAATGATGTAATCCGTATGAAAAGCCAAAGCGTACGACATGAACTTTTTGAGTAGATTCTAAAAAATTTTTTGGATATACTTCCAGATGCCCCCCCCCCCGATTACAACCTTCCCTAGTTAGTTTCCTTTAGAATCAATATTCTCGGACCTACTAAACGGGATACTGTAGTATTTGAAGAGCACTACAAGATGATACTATTTGGGATACTGTAACTTGTCTATGAACCCAGTTACCGAACCATAAAGCTATAGAGATTTAGCCTAGAAACGCTTCAAAAACGGACTTTCAGCCTAGTTCCCTTTAAGATCAATATTCTCGGACGAACTAAACGGGATACTGTAGAATTTGAAGAGCACTACAAGATGATACTATT